AGATTTGTCGTAGGATCTATTGTGTTTACCATATGTAACAGTAAAGGATGAATAAGAATATATAATATATTTGTACAAAAGCTTTCTTTTTACTTAAACACTATTTTTTTCCCATAAGAAATTGTGTTCATGTAGTATACTATGCTCAGTCACATCTACCTAACGTTGAATTCAGGGGTATTAATCACTCTATGCTGCTAGACTGCTCCACAACTCTTATCTTCACTTTTGTAGGGGTGATTCCCCCCTTGGCAGACTCCTTTCTATGCATCCTTGCTAAAGACAGAGGCTTATTATTACAGAGAACACCACTTATTAGCATGCAATTGGTGGTACAAACAGCATCAAAAGAAAAGACTAGGATTTCAGGACAAGTTTTTTCATTTCTGATTCTACAGTCCACTTTAAGTGTTCTTGATCAGTGAGATGGGCTATATGAGGATAGGTGGTCACCCCATCACTTGGTCCTAAGAATGGGAAAGGGAACACAATAGGCAGTGACATAGCGTTGTGAGGGCAGCAGGGATTGCCTGGCCCGGGCTGCAAAATTTCACAATAAATAGTATCTTGTAAAAATTTGAACCTTTTCATTTCGTATTTTTGTCACACCTACAATTCAAGGCTGATGGAAAAGAGCACAGAATCTTTCATTACTCATTCTGAGACAACTTCTATAAATGGTGTATAATGACAGCTTGTTCATTATAGTGACTGGCAACACCGTGTGTATTGACTTGTAGGAATTCCTTTTATTTTGTGCTTGGATTGTTTATGACTAGTTTTCAGCAAGAGTGACTTCTATCATATAAAGAATAGTGTTTAAGATTGTAAAATCACACTTTCAAATTAGATTACAGTAGGATAAGTTCCTTCAGGGATGTCTGTAGATGATGCTTTGACAATTCAAAAAAAGTTTCATTGATGGATCGTCTGTTGTGCAATTCACATTAACTTAATCGTATGTGCTTTCCAAACTGTGATTTTAGTGTTCACGGGAACACGTGTAATGATTGTTAGAGTATGAAAGTTCATTGAAAAATTGTATTGTTCATGTACGTATACATTTGACTATGTAAGTATTAAATATTTTCGTTTGTATAAATGTTTTTAATTTGTGTAATTGGAAGTTTAACTATATCTGCTATATTGTTCAAGCTTTAATTTATTTGTAATTATTTTGAATCGCTCTATGATACTTTTGTGTATGCATCCAACACTAGCAAATGAGATTATTATATTGTAAAACGTATACACGACTTTTTTATTTACAACCTATACAATACTCAACAATAATGATTGTTCTCCCTGAAACATTCTTTAGAATTGCAGAATCTTTTAGACTTTAAATTAAATTATCTAAATAAGGAGACTGCGAAATTTCCTCCAACCCGGACTGCTGACACTGATGTTACGCCACTGACAATAGGCAAGGAAGGATTGCACACAATCTTTGACACGATTTCTAGGGTGCAGCTCGGTTATTCACCTGGAAGCGATTAGGGAAACTATAGAAAACCATGGATCAGAGTACTTGGCCTACGACTTGGAACTGAACAAGTGCTTAAAACGCACTTATGTTAAGTACACAGACAAATATTTGCCACCTGGCAAGGATTGATTTTGGAGCCTCTCTGGTGTTGGTATTTTTTAAAGGTATTTTTCTGGTACCTTTTAAAGCGGAAAATACTCTGTTTTTTCAGATGCATCGATCATATAAAAAGATAATTATAGGATTCTCACTTGAAATGGTTTTCTGTTAAAACAACTTTTATTTTTAAATTAAATGATGTCACAATCACAAAACCTTAACTTTTGGGCTGTGACAGTTTTCCATTGGAGATATTATTATTTTTTAAAAGAGTTAATAAAAGATAGGAAATTTTGTTTGAAACCTAGAACTAAAACTGTAATGAAAATATTTTATTCACCAACAAGAAAGTAATTTGAAATGGTTTAAACTTTTGGTATTAATAGATATTACTCTTACGCTTACCAGTAATATATATTTTCTTGCTGGATTTACAGGTAACTTTAGTTTTGGAAGCTGCACAAAATTCAAAAGCCACACTATCGTAGATTTTATCGAAAACGCTGTAGAGCATTCTAGATCTGGTCGATATTTGTTCTTCTTGCACCGAAGGCCTGTTTTAGGACCAATGCGAGTTCAACTCTTGCATCCTGTATCTCGATTTAAGCAGGTTCAAAGTCTCCAACATATGTGCAGGTTAGTATCTACTATATTAATAACATTTAATTTTTTTATTCATTTCCATTTATTGTGTGTTGTTTATTGTTTTCATTCTTAGATGGCAAATTTTTGTTAAATGATTTTAATTAATAGAAATTTCTTGAAAAATACATAGATTGAAGTACAACAAATAAATTATCAGTTATTGATGAAATTCTGTTTGTATATAAATATAGAGCGTTTAGAAGAGAAGGTATGAGTACTCAGGCTAGTACCACAGACAACTATTAATAATAATACTTACATTGTGTTAGTATCTTGGACTTGCAGCAGTGCAGCACTATGCTCACTTTGATTGGCAAAACATACAGAATGATCAAAACCCATTTTATTCTTGTAATTTTTGTTCATTATTTATATAACTAATTATTTTTTAATTTTTATGATATTAACCCCTTCTGGTAGCTTCATGTATCTTTCTTTATAAAATATAATTAAATTGGAAGATATAAAATACAAACACTACTTTTTAATATAAATGAAGTTTTACTTATGATATAAAAATATTGTATTACTGAACTGGACTCGGAAATATTGACTATTGCCTTTCAAGAAATAATATATCCATTTTCAAAGAACATCAGAAAAGATTATGTCTTGATTTCACAAAAATTACAAGAACTATCTACTCCAGCAAAATATGTGTTTTTACGTCTCTTGAAACTTAATATTCAACGCATTCCATGACAACTCTTCAGAGCTATTAAACCAGTATATCAACTATTTGCTGTTATTGAATTTGTTTGAAAGTAAAATTGCTCCACAAATTTCTGTTTAAAGATATGAATTTCGTACTGTCATAACATTACTTAAACCTGTAAGATTGAAAGTTAGTTATTTGTTTTATTTACATTAAGATTTACGGGTTTACTTTCTTTGTACATTTGCATTACAATTTAACTACCAGAATTGTTATTATTTTGAATATTTGGATATTTTAAAGTTTATGGCATTTGATTCCAGGTGATATTGAATTTCCATTGGCACATTACTATTGGAAAATAAGGAATATTTTATTTTAATGTCAAAATATATTCTTGATTTCCTCTTCACAATTTTCTGTACTATACATGTATTTTGAGACCTATAAGAAAATTTGGAGAAACTTGTGATTACAATTTTAACTTCCACAAATTTTTGCATTCCTTTCCACCAATCATAAACCAATTTTAGTTTTTTTTAATATGATTATGGTAAAAATATGAATGTTTGCAAAATTTCAAAAAAAACATATTCTTCTCTTTTGGGGGTGAAAAAAGTCTTACCTCTTCACATTGTTTGTAGCTAGTTTTGCAAGTAGGTGAAAAGATCTGAAACATTTTATTGAGTTTTAATTAAGCTCAAATACATTAATCGGGTAGCTCCTAACTTAAATGTGAAAAGCACACTAATAAAAACTCTAATAAAAAAATAACGATGCAAATAATAAATTCAATGAACAACTGAAACACACACAAAAAACTCTAAATAAATATACTAAATAAATTATGAAATTGAACCACTTTCTGTTACACTACCAAAAAATCATAAGTGAAGAAGTTTTTCTTTCTGATTAACATTTAAATCCTGGGCAACTAGTGATGACCATTCTGCAGTGGCAAAGTGTGTTCCTAAAAAGAAGAGTATTTACCAAATGCAGAGGAATTTATTATAAGATCACACTTTCTTTTCTATACGCTCTGATAAATGTGTACTAAATGCACTTTAAATTATCAAACTTTCCTATTACTTTCATGTGAATTTTCTTTTAATTGATTTTATTGATTAATGATATAACTTAGTGCTTGGTATTATATCTTAATATTTTTTAAATAATCTCAATACTCTAAATAAGGGGCCTAAAATGAATCATTTGCTGTTAATGTAACAAGATTTTAAGGTTCTGTTACACAACTCTAGTAGTCTCTGCAAAGCATTTGAAATTTCATTTATAATTAAGGTTAAACAATGCACATTAAGATTTTATAAAAAATAAGTAATTTAATTTCATTCAACAGTGATACAGTGTGAAATGATGTTGTATAATCAAAAATTTGAAAGTGGGAAACACTGATATATTTTCAAAAATCTGAATGGGGTAATTAAGGGAGGAAAGAATGAGAACTTTCTATTGTAGGAATTCGTTTAATTCTTAGAAGGTTTTCATTTTTAAGATATTTATGATGTCTTTTATTTATGATACTTATAATAAGGAATACAAAATTGTTTGAAAGAATGAAAAATATTTTAAAAGTTGATAGTTTAAATTTGAGGCTGAACATGGGGCAAATGCTTCAGAGTAAAGTGAACTGAAAGCCAGGATTTTCAATTGAACATTGGGATTTAGAGTTTTCTGATTGTTAAAAGTTGAGTAGAACTAAGGAACCCTTGCACAGTTTGACTTTTGCACAGTTTAGTGGATGTTGTGTAATCTGAAGTTATTTTCATAGTCTCTCTCCCCCACTCAATAGTAGGATTTAAAGGTTTCTGGTTTTGTAAACTTGAGTGAAATTATGGAACCCTGGCACAGTTTAACCAAGATAGATTAGTGGATGTTGCATAAACTAAAGTTATTTTCATAGCCTCTCATTCATGCTTTGCTCCTTGCTACTTGTTTCATTGTTCAGCTTCATGTTTCAGTACATTATCATGAATAAAATTAAATAATGAGGTTTCCTTAAGAAGTTTATGTGGATGAATTAATAAATAATTTTAGTCTGAGTATGTCAAGTAGAAGTATATTTGTTTACTAATTTAAGTCTCTCTGTGACAGATTTGTTATATTAAAATTAGTTCGAAGAGATTTGATCCCGACTCTCCCTCTGCCACGGCGGCTTCTAGATTATTTGAGCACTCCTCATTATTATGCTGAACAATTGTTGGAAGAGGAACATCAGAGAGCAAGTTCTGTGGGAACCTCACCATCAGTGGATGGTGGTTCACCGGCAGCTGCCTTTTTACCTCCCATCTTTCCATCACATCTGCCTTGAGCCCTTTGAAGGGGCTGTGAATAGTGTGGTATATTGTGCTTTAGATATGGCTCATGTGAGGGTTACATTTTATAATGAAATGTCAATTTTGAGTGTGACGTAATTTATTCTCTTCTCTACAAGAAATAACTTGTGGCTAATGGAATCATACCACAAGGATGATCAGAGATATGGCCAGTGTATTGTCCTTAGGATTTGATCATTAAATGAACAGCAATACATGGGCATGAGTGTAACTAGTCAAAGAAACTTCTCTGAGTTTGAGAAGTTTTGTGTCCGAAATTGTAGAAATACAGAAAAATTGTGTAAGCCTAACGGCTGTTGGTGTAAAGGTGGCTGCTGTTACATGCTTTACACATGATGCAATTGCTGATTTAGTAATAAAACAAGAAAGCAATGTACCGGGTAAAAAGTTGATAAGATACAGGGAACAATCCGGCCATTTACAAAAATTAATAAAAATGAAAATGAATTGAAGAATATACATCATCAGAAGTCACATGATAATAGGGCCTAAGATGTGAAAAAAAAATCCTTTATTGTTTCTAGAGATCTTTAATGCTTTAAGTAACAGCACAGTAACGTATTGTGAATACATAAATAAGCTTCTTTTACAATGCAATATCTCTAGCATTTTCCCAGTACAACTCTGCAATTTGACACAATTGTTAGCAGCACAATTGCAATTATATCATATTTCGTATTAAATTGATAACTTTTAAATTGCATTTATTTCTTTTTATGTAATTCATAGTGACACTTTGTTTCATTTGTAAATGTGTTTCTGGTAATTTTTTAATTTTAACCTGTGGTATTCACTGTTAGGCATGCTCAGAGCGTTCTTGGTTGTACTTCATGGATAGGATAAGAATCAGGGGCACAGATTATTATTTTGGTGAGATTTTAAAACTATTTCAGAAGCATTTAAAATAAAAGAACTTAAAAGTATTCTGGCATGACATCCACTTTATTTCAGTGAATTGGTTAGGTTCAAGATCATTATGCTTTAAAAGTATGATTACTGGAACACTTTTAAGAACTATTTTAGTCAATTTTTCATACTTATTGTTGATGGAAATAAAAATGTTTGTTTATGTAAATATTTATTGTTATCAACATTTTAGAGCACTGAGAGAAAAGACTTGAATGAAAATTTTTAATACTTTGATGATTTGTTTTGAATGTAAACTCCACAAACAACACCAATTTTTTTGTCAAATTAAGAATATATTTTATCGTATTGTTCGGTTGGGTGTGTAAACAAAAGTTGTTTCAGAGTTAGTTTCCATTCACACATTGTTCTGATTGAGAATTTTTGCTACATTAAAATTTCAAATAAAACTCGAGAATGAGAAAAAGATTGAGACAATTTTTTTCCATGGAAAATTTATTCCTAAACACAACACTTCAGGAATCTCAGGAGATGAACAAATCTCTTTCTTGTTTGCATTAAACTTGATATGATTTGTGATTGAATACAGCTAAAATTGTTTAATAGAATGTAAATTTGTGAAATTCATTAATTCACTATATTTCATGCCAAAAGACTAAAACAAACTGATGTTTTACATTTGTTATCAGAATTATATACTTTGTTTAATAACTTTGCAACAATGTATTAAATTGTGGGAATTAATGCGGTGTTTGTTTGTTTACAAAATATTCTTTACTGAGTGCAATAAGATGATGTAAACATTCAACTAAATTTATTATGTTATTTAGCATTTTTATGTGCACATAATATGAGAGAAAAGTGTTTTATAAAATCTTGAAATGTATGTTGTTGGTTAATCAGCTCCAACAAATCTGCTGTGATAGCTTGCAGGAGACCACTGACATTGGTGCTCTTTTAAATATGAAATATATATTGTTTTGTTACATATTAGCTCATTTTAAGTTTGTAAGTATTTGTATTTGCAGTAATATGTTTTAGAAGTTGAGAGCAAGTCTATCTCCTTTCAGTTTTTTTTTTCCAAGAAGACAACTGTGTCTTATAGCATCTAATTGGTATCTAAGAAAGCATATAATGTGTGGGGAACCTGTATTGAACTTCCATAGCTGTGAAGGTGGTGCAGAGAGAAGTCAAACTTAAAATTTTCAACTATATAGTTATGTCACGGATTGTAGTAAAATCATGTACACAAGTTTATTATTACAAAGCAAATTAATAAATGCCTAATTCTGTAATTAGTTATGAAGAAAATGATTTGATTAATGTTCTGGGGAAGCATACAAATAATTTGTAATTATTGGCTGTAGCTTTTGATGATCAACAGGCAACTATTGTCAAATGCATGTTCATATTTTTTTTATTATAATACATCTCCAAGACTGCTAATGTAAACATTTGTATTGCAATGAAACTTAACAAAAAGTACCATATAGAATTATTGCTAGATTGCAACACAAGAACACAATATTAATTTTGTGATTCTGATCATAAGAATTGTACTGTCAGCAGAGGTACACACAAGCAGTGAATAGGTGTTATAATGGTTTCATGTTATTGAACAAATCACTTGGTAAGCCCTTACTAATGGGGCTCTTCACCACAAATTAAAGAAATGTTTGACGGGAATAATCTCAATTTGATATTTTCTATCATTCTAAGATTATGTGTCAGACTCTCTCAAAGATGCTTTTTCAAGATACTTGCTCATTGCTGTTCTAGACATCAGTGTTTCTTCAGAATGTAGTTGCAGTGTATTTTAGGGATTTCACCAACACATTTTTTGAAATAGAGGACAGTTCTTTTTAAACATGAAGTGTGTTGGAATGTGTACTAGTACTTTCAACATTTATTTCACATCTTGACACAGATTGCAATATTGATGGGCTGACATGATACAGCAATATCACTGCCAATGGTTAATGAAGATAAGAGAAAAAGTATGTATGAATTAAAAGAAGTACCTTAAAACAATGAGCTAAAATTATTACTCATTGTAAAAAATGAGTGTATCCATAAATGAGTGTGTAGGCCGTACATTCACATGTGTCTTGCAAGTATAGAGAGTTATTTGTTTATTAATGGGAATGGTATGAGCAAAAAAGCAGCTTTGAAAATTCATGGAACTTTTAGATGGTTTAAATTATTGAGAATTGCCAAACGGTTTTTGTAGGTAATTGGCTCGTCCATTCTTTCCTTCATTTAGAAGGAAGCAATATTTAAATGTCCAGAATAGATTGTGATAAAAGTTTTCCTGGTATACAATAATCTTCAGAAAAGAAAAAAAAAAAACTATTTTGGCATAGAAAACAATTTGATAAATTTGTACTTTGAAACTCAAATTTATAAGAAATGTATTTAAGATTTTTCAGGGTATGTAAATACTCTGGGAGAATGAAGTGTTATTTTCTTCTTCTGTTAAAATTGTTTATTTTTATGTTCCAAAATGAATATTAGTTCCAAATTATAATTCAAAGTCGTTTCCTTTGCATATAAACTACATTGGCTAACAGGTTTTGATTTGCAAGATGCATCACAATAAATATATTTCATTAATCAACACAATTTCACTCCAACCCCTTTTCTTGGTTCCTAAAAATTGTAGGCCTGCTGCAGTGATAGATACAATCTTGTGTGGAAATATGATACATTACAGTTTCCTGAATGAAGTGCTAATTGGATTTTTTGTCATTTTGTTGAATTGTGGGTGTAACTCGAACATGTGATGTGGAAATGGACCAGTATTGTGGCCATAAACATATCAGTAGCATGCTGTTAGATGGAGTTATTTAATAAATTCTGAACATTTCTCTTGTGAACTATTTCTGAATATTACTTTTCACATAGAAATAGTCTATTTTAAGTTTTGCAAAGGGAAATATATATTGGTTAATTATTTTTTGATGTTTGAAATTGCGGAGGTGTCACGTTTGGTACGATGTTTCTAGAGTGACCTTGCAATTGATTGTGAGGTTTGCATGAAGAAAGTTCGGAGAAAAATGAAGTTTCCTGAATCATCGATTATATATAAAATCAGTATAGCATTTTGTCAAGTTTGCTGTATCCTATGCAGATAAATGTGAATTGTTATTCTGAAACTACTGCCAGTATGTGTATTCTTTGTGTTCTGCCTTAACTGCATTGTTTTATAAAACCAATAGAATTACATGGCTGTTGCGTTGATGTCATTTAATTGGATATGAGATGCTTAAGAATTTTGACTTGATGGTGCAGTCTTTAACATGCTGTATTGTGATACAGGCTGGGAGCATAATTTAATGATTGCAATCAGCCTGACCAATATTATAAGAGCTTATATTTCTTACTGAATGTCATAAGACACTGAATGTAGCTAAACAAAAGTACTGGAAATGTTAGTCACACTTTCCATGTAATCTAAATGTGACATGTGCTTTGGTTTAAAAAGTTATTTCAGAAAAACTGATCACTATTCTAATGAAAATGTTCTTTCATCATTTGATAAAGTTATTGGTATGCCTTCCAGTAGATGTTCAAATATTTAGTGTCAATACATTCCTTCTGATTGGTCCTGACATTTCTTCTGGTTATAGATTTTATCAAAAAAACTTCCAATGTCTCATCAAAATATCTGGTACCAACAAAATACTTGATGTTTGAAGATAATTTCATGACGCAATTTTTAAACCTTGTAATAGAAAACAATTTGATATCTTTATCATAATAATATCTGATCTTAAATTTAGAGGTTCAAGTTTTCTAACAAAAGAAATGTCATAACATGAAGGATTATTGAACTAGATAACATTTGCGTGAACATATTCATCTTTTCTGTGTACCATCTAGGAACAAACCAAATTTTGTGGTTGGTTATTTTTTTGGCTTGCATTACATCAAGTTTGGAAAATGTTAGCCATATCAGTGAGGCATCACAACCTGGCTTGTCACTAGGTACATATTAAACTTCAGTGAGCCATTGCAGATCCAGAGATTTCATTTTCCAAAGTTTTTCTGGAAGAAATGCTCAGCCTTTAAACTAAAACTGTATATGCCAGTACAGTTTTAATTCAATATAAAATACAATTGTAGAAAGATATTACTTACTCAAATATGCTTATTTTCTTATCTGACAATCAGTTTCTATTCTGTAACAAAACATTTCTCCTGTGGATCTGTAATATGCTTGCCCTTTTCTGTAGTTCTTGAATTCCATAACAGTGCAGCTTCAATATGAACCTATGCAGTAGATTGGTAACAAATAAAGCATTCCTTTTTCTAGTATACAGTCATACAGCAGATACAGTGTTATCTAGTGACAGCCACAATTGTTCATGTAGGCAATGACATGGAAGTACGATTTGAAATAAAAATATGGTTGTGATTAGAAAAGTACCATTGCAGGTGAATATAAACATTGTTATATTAAACTGTGGCAATATTTTAATTGATTTTTGAATTAGGTGTGAAATTCATGTTTTCCTCAATACTCCTTGGAACTCCTGTACTGAGTCAATTGTATGCGACTTGCGTTAAATATTATGTAGTGATGTTATTGTTCAGCTTTCCAAATAACATTGCATAGTATTTAATGTGAAGTCTTTTTTCCTACTCTATATGAATATTTTAAGTTATTTGCAATAATATTTACACCAAGTTTGTTAAAGAAAGTATGAGAGAGTAGTGTATTTTCAATTAATAACCTCTTAAGACCATTTTAATTCATGGAGCTATAACCCAGGATGTAAGAAAGTAGATTTGTGCGCTTATAGCCAACCAGACCTTTTTTTCAGAGTTAAAGAAGACAATGAATTGAAAAGTATACACAACTTCAAACTTTAATATCTCAAGAATATAGCTAAACACTAAGTGTCATTTAAAAACTTCCCACTTAATGTAAGAGAATCATTACTCACCTGTAGGTCCATTTCAAGATATTTTAGGTTCAGTGTTGAAACGTGTTGTGAAATTTGAAATAACAACAGAAGTATGTATGTAATTCACTCTTTCTCAACGTTTTAGAGAAAAATATTTTTGTTAAAGCATTACTGAAAGCACCAATTGCCAATACGCCATATTTGGTTCAGTAAGATATGCGTAATGGTGTGTAAGCTTGATTCGTTAAGCCCTTGTATAAAGAATGAACTCAAAACATAAGCTATTTTTGAGCATGTATTATCAAACTTTAAATTATACTGCAATTTTTCCAACTCTGCGCCCTGGTAGGTATCAGCTGTTAACAGTTTCATTCAATCAGGAGTTTAATGGTCACCATAGCGACGAGTAGTGCAGTATAGGTACAGAGAAAATCTATGATGGGATGATCCTACTTACTGGAAAACCAACTCCTTGCTTCTTGATAATGATCACCTAGTTTAAATTGCATTGTTGTTTTCAATAACTTACCTGTATTATATTCTGAAAAGTTGTAGTTGCATTATAATTAATTTTGTTGGTGATAAGTTAGCAGATAGGTACTACAGAAGAATGGAAACACTGCCTTATTTTGCAACTTTCCATTAAAAATAGAGATATTCATACTTTTTTATTTACAAAATAATGTTGGAACAAACATTAACAGCACATCTAAGATATCTATGTACATTTATCTAAATGTGCTATCTGCACTGAAGGAAGCAACCTTTCATTCTGGGAAGATAAAAAATTTCCTTTTGAGCATAATTTAAATAATTGAAGTATTATGGAATGTACAGAGATTACGGAGTTAGAATTCCAAGTGTCTTGCGTACAATTCGCTCAGCAATTCTGTTGAACTCTGCTCTATCTTCTCTCCACATCTTCGCAGCATCCACATTTGCTCCACTTTCATCATTGGGCTCTATTCACAAAGCGATGTAATTCATTATTATATAATGTAAAATTAATTTAAAATATTACAAAATACAAATTTTAAATTAACATTTACCAGCCAACATGCTGACCACAGACAAAAGAATTTTTTCCACACTTTGCACCGGACTCCAACGCTCTGCACTAGATTCATATCCCATTGGATCATCTCCTGGAGCATGAAGAATGGATATACATACTCTACCATCAGCGTATACTGTAACATATAAATAAATATGTGATAACATTACAGCACACAATGAATATACAATGTAATTAAAAAATTAACCAAAGCATTCACACAAAGTTAAATTTTACACTGCTGTAAATAAGCATTCACTCAGATCAGAAAAAATTTCTGGTTTGTGATTACAACATACTCACTATTGGGGTGAAACATTTCACACGTGAATTGCATTTTTGGAGGGCTTAGTGGATAATCCGGAGGAAAGATCAATTTAGCTGGAAATACTCCACCTTCAAAACAGGTTCCTTCAGGTCCACTGCAAAACAATCCATCAAAGCACAATTATTTAAAAAAAAAAAAACTGATTAAAACTGCACACACTGGCTAAATGTTTGAGCTTTATTACACGCATTAAATATCTTAATTCTCTGCAATATGGCACCTTTGAAAACTGGACTAAATGAAGTTACAATGCTCAAAAGAAGTAAATAATTGAAAATAATTCATTACAGAACTGTCGACAATCTCAACTACCACAATTCATCACCTAACCCCACTTAAATTCAGACAAACCCCATACTTTTGCAACAGTATAATATTTTAAACAAGTATTTTAATTCTTTCATGCACTAAATGCCCATTTCAAATCAATTGGCAATTAAATTGATTCCAATGAGAATGAAATATAAATATTTAAACAGAGTAACAACTACACTTGGCACAACTACAAAATTAAAATAAAAAAAATATTCTAATATAATATTTACTGTATTCTTACGTGATTAAAGCTTCCCATTCAAAAAAATTTTCCTCGTTAATAGGACCAGCAATAATTCCTTCAGGTGGATTCAGTGTTAGTTCTGAAAAATTATATTATTATTCTTATGGACACAAATTCTAGGATGAACTACAAATGGCACGGGGAAATACAATCATTTCATTACTCTCTTACATGCTTACAGTCACCTTAGAAGAGTTAAAGAACACACAGTTCAGATGACTTCTGAATTTTGAAGCAAATGTTTAACCCTAACTGCACATACACAATTAATGTGCTATTACAATCAAGAAAACATAGTTAATTCACCCGCATGAGCTACCTCTAATAAACATCTATTAACGTGCATAGAAACACAGGAAATCGTAAATTATTACAGTACTAGCCTACACTTGAAAGAAGATCTCTCTTTACTCCTAATTTAGATAGTATTGAAGTTAAATCTTACAAAATAATGATAATAACTTGCGATGACAAATCTAAACATTCTTTTTACATCCAAAAGTTCAAAAATTAATATAATTTCAATAAGCAATGGTGATTGATGGAGGGGCTACAAATATAGTTTAAGTAGGAATATAAGAAAAATTTAGATTCTGAACAAACTTGAAAGTTATTTAGAATCATGGTTAGGTGCTGGGTGACTTGCTTTTTTTGTTGCTAATAGTCAGAGATAAAGATTAATTGTCACTAAAAATAATGAAAACTGAAAGAAATACTCTACCTATATAGGCCCCTTAATTTTACTGGCACATGAAATTTGGCATAATAAAACAAAAACTTTTAAACATTTTGAGTAAAAGAAGGATAGTGACCTAGTAGAGTTAGTATAACATACGTTTATAAAATTAGAAAATCTTACGTTTATACTCTGCCATCAATCTTCTCAATGCTGAACCTGCCATTTTTATCAAAAGATTCTACCCCTTTTGGCAGCCCCCCCGGGCACCCTACGGTACCTGTCACCCACGAATAGCAACAAAACAAGTGCAAGTGACTGCAAGGTTCTACGAGGTCTGCAACCCGCAGCGGCAGCTGATCAAGAACCGCGTGGTGTAGGCTGATAAATTGGAAAGAAAGCAAATCTAAGAAGATTGAAAGAAGTCTGAAAGTCTAAAAGAAGATTTAAAGAAAGTCTTATTACTGTTTACAGTACTACAACATTGAAATGTTTTTTGTACGAATTTAATATATGTTTTCGGTAGCTTATTGACCAATGTTGATTAACATACAATATATTTTTTTTCTGATGCTACCTCTGATAAATATTTAAAATGATCTGCACTTTCAGTGCTTGTGTCCCTTACAGCGAATAATAATAATAATAAGAAGAAAAAAAAGAACCCCATAAATAAAATATTTTCTGCCGTATTTGTATTTTCTCCCAGATACTCGGCCAAGCGAATGTATCAGAGACAAATGATGAACCTTAAACAAATTCTTATTATCATTTTTAAAATTCCCTTAATTCTGAATAAATGTGTAATAATTACTAGTCAGAAGGAGGTTGAAAGTCTAGTTCATTCGAAACACACATTAGAGCAACGCAAGGTCGATTTCCATGTTCTTTGTTTTATGGAGGTGTGTCAATGACATCAGCATTCCTGTATTCTTGAAATAAGTTAATCAATATTGTCCTCCTATACAATCTTTTTAACGACTTCAGATATACAACAATATTTTACGCAATATTGTAATTTAGACACTCCTAAAATTACAGTACACGAAGGCTAAGTTAATGCCCTTTACTCTTTGCATTGGTACTATTTACGAAAGGAATACGGTCAGTTCCGCACTTTGTGTTTCATTTGTTCGGCATACACTGCCATCTATTCTGGTTTTAGTTCATTAGTCCTTGATCAGTTGGATTGTTAATGAGAAATGGTGCAATAAGTTTAATTAATTGTTTTCAGTATTTGTCTGGCTATGACTTAATAATGAAAAATGTTTTTTGTACACCATGTGTCAAGGACATCGTAGAACTTTTAGTTGTCAAAATTACATTCACATTGACGTCAAATGTGGTATTGTAGTTGATGCCATCGACCGTTTAGGTTGTCTCGTTTAGCCTTGTCTTGCTGAGAAGTCAAAGAACAGGACTGTGACCTACGAGACAGCCTGTCAAATTTGTAAGGTGTTAAACGGGAGAAGGGCGTATGCAATTGTGAATGAATAGCAACAGACGTCAAATATGGCTTCGAATTCCATAGCAGCCCATGTGTTAATGAAGAAGGGCAAACGTGGGGCGGCAGCTTACGTGCATGCAGATTGTTCAAATTCAACATCTCCTCAACACCTTAATGAACTTTTAGATGTGTTGTTAAATCCTGGAAAGACAATAGATGAATGGGAGACTATAGATTGGTGCAAGTGGCTTATAGCTGGAGGAAAGACACCTGATGAGTTCTCAAGTATAGGTATGGTGTTACTTGTGTTATAATGAGTTAAGCTTGAAGCTTAAATTTATGTATAGTGGAAATATTACTTGTGTGATGACTTGTCATTAGACAGTTTGTAATGTCACAACAAAGTTCTTTCTACAGATAAATTTACACTGTTCAGAAATGTCAGGTTATATGTTTGAAATTACTCTTAAATGCCTTTTTATACATATTTCTTGGTATTGGTATATAATTCATTGTTGATGTCATATCAATCAAATTGTTGTGTGTTATCTTCAATAATTGTCAAGTCATTTACTGAAGTTGTACTTCTGTAAAACATGTTATCGTGTTATAATAGCATATGATAAGTGCACTACGTGAAACAAGAAAATTGCCTTCTAATAAAAGTTTTATTGAATGTCTTTTTAAAAAGAAATTTCTGGGCTAAAGATTTTAATTTGTTATTTGTACAAAGAGTTACACAGTCCAACTGAAATGAACTTAATGTTTAGTTACAATTTACAAAATATTACTTCTGATTTCATTTGAAACAAAACATTTGCATTATTTCAGTTCGAAGATACGACAATGCAACAACATGTGGCTTGGTATGGACTGCTAACTTTGTGGCATATCGATGTCGTACATGTGGAATCTCTCCCTGTATGTCATTGTGTGCAGAATGTTTTCAAAATGGAAATCATGCGGGACATGATTTCAACATGTTTCGAAGTCAAGCTGGTGGAGCATGTGACTGTGGAGATACTTCAGTCATGAAAGAAACCGGGTTTGTGCATTACTATATTGTTTAAGTTCAAAATCCAATATTCATCTGTGCAATGTTCATGAATTTATGTAAATAAAGCAATATGATATAGAGAGGACTATGGAATATTCTTGTATTTGAAATGTTGATGCGAATATAAATTTTGAGTTATCTGTACATGTTGTATAGGCTACCTATATATTGTATTGTTATTGTATTAACTAAAATAAGTATTGAAACTGCATTTGATTCATGATATTATTGTGTAATATACTTCAAAATCAAAATATTTAATTGTGTTATTTTAGGTTTTGTGACAGACATGGTCCTAAGGCACAGGTGAATAAACCACCAGCACCTAATGATTTGGTTTGTGTGGCAGAAGCTGTAATGCCTCGCATTATTTTGCGACTGATCCAGCATCTCAGGGAGAATAGGCAAGTGTTTTGTATATTGTTTTATCCATTTTGAATTTTTTTAATTTCTAATTTGTTTGGTGTGTTAATAATTTGTCTCTTTCGTAGCAAATCCGGTGTCTCAGATGTACATATAGTTGCCATTCAGGATGCTGACCAGTTCCTCACAATGCTGCATGACTTCAGTGCAATGGGTGCCGTCATGCGACGTGTGATGACAGGTGCACTTACCAACCCACAGGTGAAATTGATGAATAGATTGATTGATTCATATCTTTATAACTTAATGAATACTGCACATCATAAGTATATCATTGACCTTTTTATAGATATACAAGAATTTGACTGAATGTCCTGTAGCTGACTCAGAATATTCTAGTTACATGGAAGAAAGCCAACGTGTTTATCAGGAAGTTCTAAAATCTTTGCCAAATCCAGAACCTCCTGATGAGTATAAAGGTAAGTGAAAACAAGTGTGTGATACCTAATTGGGAATACCCGTTTGCAAACATTATGCACTGAAATGAGCTTGCAGGCAAGTCAGAGTGCATTTTTCCTTTGAATATTCATCTTTTAAGCTTTTGAAATACCTGATTATCCCTACTCTTGCCACAAGCATTTTCTCCCTGCCTCAGTCTACCTTCCTGGGCAGCCTGAGGGTTCTGCTGCCTGCCAATGGAACTCCATAGCCAGACCTATGTGTGGTTGATACCCATGACCATTGTAATACATTACTTGCTGTAAAGGGAAGAAAGAAATTATGCTTCTTGTAAATATTTCAGACTGCCCATCTCTTCAAGAGCATTTAGTACACCGCACTTTCCTTGAAGAGTTAGTATTTTGGACTGTGAAATTCGAATTTCCTCAGAAGGTTGTATGTTTATTGTTAAATATGTTACCAGACCCTGATTACAAGGTTTGTAGAAAGAAAATTGTATTTCTTTTTGAAGTAGTTGAATTACATTCACATGCTCTGTAATTTTTTTTTTTTAAATTTTGTAGGAAGCTTTGACCCAAGCCTTTGTGTTACACTACTCACGAATATCACTCATGTTAGAACGCTCAACAGATCCGGATACTTTATCGAATCGTGTAGTTCATGTTAGTGTTCAGCTTTTTTCAAACGAAAGTCTTGCTTATCGTATGGCAGAGCGACTAAACTTGCTGCATGTTATGGTGATCTCTCTCAAATACATGATGAGCAAGATTTTAATCCAGAATTCTTTACATGGTGAGACTATTATCATCAATAGCTAAAAGAATATTACAATTTTTTTTCTGAGATAAGATTGTAATTATGTTCTTTATTTTTAGATCCAGATAAGAATTTTCATTATGTTGTTGATTGTGGGCGTCAAGTAATGAAAGAACATTGCTATTGGCCTCTTGTGTCAGACCTCAACAATGTACTCTCTCATAGACCAGTGGCAGTCAAGTTTATGAGTGATGATAACTTGCTAGAGATGTGGTTTAGTTTTCTATCTTTGTTCCAAGGTTTGCTTTTATTCTCAACAATGTAATTTGTTAATTTAACCATTGATTTTATTTTACAAATTTAAACTGTTATGTACAGGAATGAATGTGAACCAGAGAGAGCTGACTCAGCATGTAGAATTTGAACCCAATACATATTATGCTGCCTTTTCTGCGGAGTTGGAAGCTAGTGCATATCCCATGTGGGCACTTGTCTCTCATCTACGAGACAGTTCCACTGTGGATTTAACGAAGAGTGTTCTGTCAATGTGCTTAGCTGCTTTGCAAGAGTGGTTAGAAGCAGTAAATTTTACTCATCCAGGAACAGTAAGTTTTACTTCTACTAAATTAACAATTTTATAAGTACTTTGAAAAGGGTAATTTGTAGAAACTGGAAAGCTAAATGATTAATAGGTGTAGTAATTTTGTAAAGATTAAAGTTATTTGGAATGAGAGTGTGAATGATCCAAAGAGTTCTGTAATAGGCAGTAGAAAAGGTGTTTATCCATTAATATATTAAGTAATACAAAATATGTTAACACACAGATATGACTACACCTGTGAAATTGTGAAGAAATCAAATTTAGTAAAGGAGATTTGTTTGCCTGTTACACTTTGTTTTTCAATTTGTGAAAGATTTTTTACTGTTGTTTCTTTTACTAAAAGTGAGAAACAATGAGTTACAGATTCAGGGCTTGCAAATCACCCCTTTGCTTATTCTCTCATATTTTCAAACCAAGGTGCACTTTTTAAATTCAAAATTCTATTAACATAATTGAATTAAGGGTTTTTGGTGAGAAAAAAGTTGTCAAAAATGTCATTTTCAAGTCTTGAGTTCAAGATCATTTACATTGTACATACATGATATGTATTGTTGTATGAGTTGCAATTTATTGAAGTTATTGGTTTTGTTGTTCAAGCAAGTATGAGGCTGTAGTTAGCAAAGTGAAGGTAGCAAGTTTTTAAAGGTCAACGATCACTGACTTTGATCAAAGAATGCAAGCATTAGTGAGTGCATAAAAAGCAAAATCCATCAGTTGTCTGACATTTGGTTTACACTAAAACATTCAGTGATTATAATTATGTGATGCTTAACGTTTTATGTTAAGATTGATCGCAGGATTTCCTGCAATAGTCCATAACCTAATGTTCAGATCGTGGTAAATACAGAACATTTCATTTACATTTCCAGAAACATATTGGATACTGTGGTCACGGGTTTCATCCATGCTACAGTAATTATAGTTCGATAATTTGTAAACTTATTTCATTTTATTAGACTTGGAGAGAAGTTCTGAATGACATGAAGCAACATTTTGGGGTTTTTTGATTTTCCAAACAGGGACTTTTCGACAGCTCTTCCTTTGTAATTGCATGGGTTCAGTTGTTCTATGTGAAATGGGGGTTTTGTGAATAAGAATAGTGTTTTTTTCTTTTGCAGAGTGATGAATTGCAAGTATCGTTTCATCTACCTCTTCATCGCTACCTATCTGTGTTTATGTGCCAAGCAGTTCGCCAACAAGGTGTTCCCCTGCGTGAAGTTTTACCTCCACGTGATCTTTTGGCACTCATCATGATGCATCCTCTCCGTGTTCAGGTAAGTTGAAATTTTTGTCTCTTTGAAGTATGTATATTCTTTTCCAGGTGTAATAATAGTGGCATTATTTATATGATGAATATTGGATCATCTGGTGATCTAACCACATAAGAACTAGTATAGTATGCTAGATAATACAAAAGAATAGTTAGTGATACAATGTTTAAAAACAACTTATAAAAACTTAATAACTGAAGTTTAACACATACAAAATAACTTAGAAAATTGTTTGAAAGCAATTTAAACATACAATATTACTTGGAAATACAAAGAAGGAAATTGAAGATTAAATTGGAAATGAGTGACTTCTGTCCTCTGTGTGCGTGGTATCTACTAAACAGCCTGGTATTCACCCCAAGATTCTGTAATCGGTCATTATCCGTAATAAAAACTTCTTCTCTTGCTGCTGAGCCCTGCAGGAGAACCTTCTGGAATCTTAAATAATCATCAAATGCTGTGATACAAACACTTACGTTTTAGTGTTAATATTTTGTGCGCTTTACAATAGCTGGAAATGTGATTATATTTTTTTAGGTTATAAATGCATTTACATCTATAGAAGCATTTTGAGCTCTTGGAGTAGTTTGAGCATGTGAATTTTTCAAATCATTGTAAACAGTCTTCATCATTGAGAACTAAAGAAGCATTAGGGATTTTTATGTACATTTCTTTCATATGTGTCTGTAGAAATTTATGAATACGTCTAAGGAAATGCAAAGACACATGAACTTTACGGTAGACATTATGGGCCTGGCATTTCCAGCTAAGATGATGATCACCTATTACTCACAAGTTTTTCCCGTGGGAATGATAAACGTCCTATACTGTAGTTTTTAAGCACCTTGGAACTAGATAGACATTCAAGTTTATTGTGCTTTTGGGAAGAACCAATGGTTTGCTATTTGGCGGATTAAAATTGAATCCATTTTTCATTGACCAGTTGATTACAAACATAGGTTTTTCATTTAATTGGTTTATTGCCCCCTATGTCCATTTCCTGGAAATTTGCTGGTCATCTGACATAATTTTTTGAGTTTGCGTGAAGGTCATTAACATATATCAAGTACAGAGGACCTATCGTGTACACAATATATCCTGAGATATATTGTGGGTGAGAGGATTTGGGTATGGGTGAGGATAGTCAATGTCTTCAATTTGTTATCTGTTGTAGCTTGCAATTCAATAGTTGGTTGGTTGGTATTCAACAAATTTAGCTTTTTGAAATTTTGCTATTAGGACTTTGTAATGTACACGAATGTTTTATCAAAATCTGAGAGTAGAATTCATACAGTTTGAAGGTCATCTTCGAGTGCTTTTCTCTTTTCTTCAGTTATTTTCATTAAAGCTTTCTGTGTGCTTCTACCTAGTCCAAAGTCAGATTAAAGGTTATTGAACATCTGAATGTGTTAAGTGTTGTTCAGTCTGTTTTTGGATTATTTTTTCCTGAATTTTTGACATGGGTCTGCAATAATTGGGCGAAAATTCCAAGACACGGAAGTCAGTTCCGATTTTGGCTGGGGTTGAGCATATGCAAGCTTCCATGCTTGAGGAAAGATCTCCATTGTTGATGAGAAATTAATTAAGTGCCAGAGTGTTGGAAAGCTAAATGGTAAAACTAGTTTAGATTGTTTGGCTGTGATGCCATCAACACTTGATTTAGTGTAGTAGTAACAATTTTACGAACTTTATAGTGATCTGTGTTATGGAAATAAAGTTTATCCCTGCCTGCAAGTGAGTTAGTTGTAAGAGTAATGTATTTTGTTTGACGCAAGGTTATTTATGAAATAGTCGTTAATGTTGACATGAATATCCTTTCACGATACTGAGGTCTCATGATATATTTGAAATATCTTTTGTGTTCATTTTTGCTTCAAGTAGAGTAATAAACCCCTAACTCTCCTATGTTAATTTGTCTGTACATTTGTCCCATTATCTCGGAACCTAGAGATGTAAAATTTTTCGACCAGCTTAGTGGAAATATTTTAAGTAAATACAAGCAGATTTATATCATTTGAATAGTTTTTGTAAAATCCAGCATATTTAAAGTAAAACTCAAAAGTTTTTACATAATTTTTTCTGTACTGTTATGCAAAGAAAGAAGTATGCAAATTACTGTAGTAATGTAATTGAGGGATGGATTTTAATGAAATGTCTTTTTCTTTTTTCATCTTTGTCTTTGTCTTCTTCTTTGTCTTCTTCATTCTTTTGTCTTTGATCTTCATCTTCTCTCATTCTTGTTGTCTTCTTCTTCTTTTCATCTTCTTTATCTCATCTCTCCTTCTTCATTCTTCTTTCTTCATCTTCTTCTTTGTGGTCTTCCAGCTTGTCTTCTCGGTTGCCTTCTCCTCTTGTTTTTCTCTTCTTCTTCTTCCTCTTCTTCTTCTTCTTCTTCTTCTGTCTTCTCTTGTCTTCTTTCTTCCTCCTTTCCTTTGTCTCTTCTTCTTCTCTTCTTGTCTGTCTCTTCTTACTCTTCTTTGTTTCTTCTTCTTCTCTCTTTGTCTCTTCTTCCTCTTCTCTTGTCTTCTTCTTCCTCTCTTTGTCTTCTTCTTCCTCTTCTTTGTCTATCTTCTTCTTTGTCTTCTTCTTCTTTGCTCTCTTCTCCTCTCCTTGTCTTCTTCTTCTTCCTCTTCTTTGTCTCTTCTTTTCCTCTTCTTTGTCTCCCTTTCTTCTTCTTGGTCTCTTCTCTCTTTCTTCTCTCTTCTTCTTCTTCTTCTCTCTCTCTTTGGCTTCTTCTCTTCTCTCTTCACTTCTTCTGCTATTCCTTGTCTTCTTTCTTCTCTTTCTTCTCTTTACTTATCTTTCTCGTCTTTTCTCTCTCTTACTTTGCTTTTCCTTCCCTTTTATGTCTTGCTCTTTTTCTCTTCTTCTTCCTCTCCTTCTCTTCTTTGTCTTCCTTTCTTCTCTCTTCTTGTCTTCTCTTCTTCCTTAATCTTGTTCTTTCTTTACTTCTTATCTTTGTCTCTCTTCTTGCTCTTTTTGTCTTTCTTCTTCTCTTCCTGCTTGTCTCCTCTCTCTCTCTTCTTCCTCTTTTCTTTTTTCTTCTTCCTCTTCTTTGCTTCTTCTTCCTCTTCTTATCTTTGTCTTCTTCTTCTTCCTCTTCTTATCTTTGTCTTCTTCTTCTTCCTCTTCTTATCTTTGTCTTTTTCTTCTTCCTCTTCCTCTTCTTTGTCTTCCTCTTCTTCTTCCTCTTCTTCTTCCTCTTCTTTGTCTTCTTCTTCTTCTTCTTCCTCTTCTTTGTCTTCTTCTTCTTCTTCTTCCTCTTCTTATCTTTGTCTTCTTCTTCTTCCTCTTCTTATCTTTGTCTTCTTCTTCTTCTTCTTCCTCTTCTTTGTCTTCTTCGTTTTCTTTGCTTTTTTCCTCTGCTTTTTTCACTTTAGAACATCTTTTTGTACAGACATTAATTTTATGCTAAGACAAAAGAATGACTTTTGCCCCAACATTTTTCATTGATTTTGACTAATAAGTCATTTTTACCTTTTTCCTTTTTTAGTTATTTTTTGCTGATTTCATTGAATTTAGTGGTACTTTTCAAGTAATATTTATGAGATGCTACAAATGTTCTCTTCAGAATTTCTGAGTAGCCTATTCGATTTCTTTGTTCAGAAATTGTAATGTGGGCCATTGTGAGTATATACTGTCAGGTTCCTACAATGCCTATCAGCCCCATTTTCTGTTCAGCCAATTAACGGCCATGATAACTAAAGACAGATTTCCTTGTAAAGAACAGTCCAAATCAAAAGTTTGTTGTCGGAGTTCACTTGAACGCAAGGCAGAAGCCTTGATTACATTAGTAACTTATACAACAGCTTGAGTTGTTCATCTGAACTGATTTTGATCAAATTTTTTTCAAACTTTCTTTGGAACAATTTAAGAGCATTTTAAAAAACATTTTATGGATCATTTTTGGTAAAGTTTTAGGTAATCAAAATCCATCTTCTACATATAACCATGATTACTAAATTAACCTCTTGCAAAACATCACTTCAGTTCTTTCAGAGATAATTGGACAAATGTGTTCAAAAATGTTATTTTTCAGAAATTGAGATCTAAGTTAGTGTATCTATGTAATCAGTTAAGGTAAAATAAGAAAAAACACGTTTGTTGTATAAATAGACACAGACAATGAAGTGATGCATTACTAGCAACCTTAAATAATTAACTTTTCTCTAACATTTAGTGAAAACCGGAGAATCAAAGATGAATGTGATTAAAAGAAATTGATTAATTGATCTACAATGATTGTCAATTTGGCAAATACGGATGAAGGAAGAAAATAATAAAAAAATGTGAAGAGTGTACTTTACAATTATGTATAGATCATTTTATTAAGAAAACTCTAAATATTTAGAAAATGTTAAAATCCTGAAAATGTCGATAATTCATGATTTTTCTGTGTGTGTTCATTTAGAGATCACAATAATATAGGAGGTAAATGTATTTTCTGATGCTACACTTCGTCTCATTCATTAGGAAAATGGTGCTGAATTGAAACTGTTAGTGTGTGTCAATCTGAGATAATTTTCCATGTTTATTGTATTGTATATTTGTCATAGAAGTTAATTCTGCTGTTAGAAAATATAACAACAGCTTACCTTCAGCACAAGGGAACAGTTTGTTCATAATAATTCATAGTACATATATATTATTTTATACATTACAGATTATTGATGCAGATTAACTCTATCAGAACTCTATTTTCTCTACCAGAAGTTTATTTAGAATTCTCGTATTAGGATAGCTGAGAATCAGGTAATAAGATTTTGCAGGGAAAGTTGTAAAATTGTTTCGCAATTTTTCCTTTTTGCTCATTGGCATTCAGTTTCCTTTGCATTGATTAGTGAATTCAGTCATATGTCTTACACCTGAATGTACACTTAAACTCTGGTCTTTCAGTGATCAAACAGTGAATGTATTGTTTGAATAACATACCAATAACAGAGTGTTAACCCATAAGTAGTCATGTACACAGTACTTCACATCATTTGCTTGGTATGTGGACCACTAAAAAATAGTAGAGCATTTTCAAATAAATTTTTCTCATGAAAACCTTTTGTGAAATTTTGTTAAAATGTTATCACTTCTACTGGTTTTAACAAGTAAATACAAAAACAATGATACATTTAATTTTTTTTTAGTTTCTTTAATTTATTTTTGTTTTGTCCTAGAAAAGCGGCTTTTCAAGGAAGTGTTTTCCTTAAACTTTCAATCCCAAGATTATTTTAAGGCTAGAATTTTGTATACACTAATTAACATTATTCACATTTATTTTGTAGTTGAAACCAACATTTTTTTGTTTTATTTTACAATGATTCAACGTTTCATTCCAATGACTTCTTCAGTTTCTGAAAGTATACTTAGTAGTTAAAAAGATTGCTATTAGACTTTTAATTAAACAAATATGTATAAAAACAATAATATCAACAATTACCTAGATTTCAATAACAAATCTTAATGTATGTTATCTTAACTTTAAATCTAGGTTATTGTTAATGTTATTGTTTTTGAAGGTAATTGTTTAATATAAAGTTTAATATGCATCATTTTTAAATACTTAAAAAGTACTTTCAGAACTTCAAGACATTAAAAAGAATTGTCAAAACATAAAATAAAACAAAAATTGGTGTGCATTTAACACAATGAAATGAATGTGAAACTTGTTATTTTATGTATAAAACTTACTGTCTTAAAATAATTTTGGGATTTAATGTTTATAGTCAATATCCAATAGATAATAGTATAAAACATACAAGAAGGGTCAACTTTATAATAATTATTAAAGAAATTGTCTTTATATATTGCCACACAATTTGCGTTGTACTAATTTATTGGTGTGACTCCTCATTTTGGTGTTATTCCTCATTTTGGTGTTACTCCTCATTTTGGTGTTACTTCTCATTTTGGTGTTACTTCTCATTTTGATCGTACATTTGAATATTTTCCTATTCCCTGTCACACAAGTCATCATCGATGTGTACTTCCTCAGATAGACCTAGAACTTGAATATCTCTTCAATGCAATTTTTCTCAACACCAAATTACAACAAGTTGGAAGATATTTCGACAAATTGTTATTTTATTTCAACTCGAAATGTTATTTCTACTCAAAAGTAAGCTATGTTGTTGATGAGCTTTACTAATGCTAAGCATACTTTATATTACATAATTGGAAAATTATATGTCAGTGTGCAATATGGTGTGCTCTGTAGGCCAGGTGCTTGGGAAAGGGAAGAGGGATGACCCACAATTAACCAGACATGGAAAAAAAGCAAAACAGCGTTGCACAGGCAGAAGAGCTAGAAGTGTGTAGAGTAGTAGGTATGTGCAGCTTATCTGAATTTCAGGAAGGAGAAGCTAAGAACAGTAGGTTGGCATACTCTGTATGTCGCATGCCCTGCACTTAAGATTTTTCACCTTGTTACTGTGGTTAACGTGTATATACAGAATTTGTTTCCAGAATTGCAATTGCTAACAAACTATGCTAAACATCATAGCTAATATTTGATTAAATAATGCTTCAAGTTCCAAGAATGTTCCTGCTATTCCAAGAATTATCCATCATTTAATCCAATATTAGCTATTGGTTATGGAGTTGAATAGGCTGACAATTACAATACCGGAAACATATTCTGTTCATAATTGTACTAACCTTGGTGACAAGGTAAATATACTTGAATTAGCATGGGCAAGCCCTGAAGAGGTAACTATCTCAGATGCTCAAATGGTAGAGCAACTGGGTATATACTGTAACTCCCAGCAGACACAGTCAATTTTTTGAACTTCATTTACTAAAATAGTGTAAATGTGGTCATGAACTGGGTTTAATAAAGTAGAATGATTTATATACAGGGAAATTTAATAGCCATTCCCTTTAATGTTTCCATTTTATGGCTTTTAAAAAACCTTTTTCTGAAAAATTACTTGTTGTGGATTTGTCTGAACGTGCTAATTTTCGAACCCTAAAGCTTGAGTTTGTCAGGTTCATCTCTTTCCACTTTCAACAAAATATTATATAATATTATTGATATAATAGCTCGTAAGTAATATGAAAATGTTCTGACAGGTTGTTGTTTCTCAGTCTTTTTTTTCTCTTTTCTTTGTTTTTAATTAGTCATCATTTAAGTTTTATTTCCATATCTCCCTTTCACTATTGTTATATTTCATCTCAATAGTAAGTGCTCAGGTAAAGCTTTTTCTGCAAAGAGTGTGATAAACCAACGAAACCCCGCTTCCTTGTAATAACATGCAGCGAAGAAGGGAAACCAATGAAAAGTGTTAGCTCAATAAAACCTGCAGTGGCTGTAGAGAAATTAGGGCAGTTCGAGGCAGTCGTTCGCCAACGTACTGAAACCATACTTAACGAATGTCGGGTCAGTCGAACAGATTGACGATTGACATAGTTTTAAAAGTGAAGGAAATAGCCGGCCTCCAGGTCAGTGTCGATCCACCCTATATTAAACCTATGTAAGGGTGTAGTTAATCAAGAAGAGTTTGTTACCGAAACTGATGAAGACCTGAAAACCTTGTCGAGGGAGTAACGGACATGCACAGGATTCAGGGAAGGTGAACAGTGTACTCACCCCCACCTCAACATTGATCCTCACATACGACAGCCCCCTCTTCCGGAGAGGATCTGATGCGGGTTGTATAATCTGCGTGTGCGGCAGTGTGTGCCGAACCCCCTGTGCTGCCTTGCCCCCCTCTCTGTGTGGTCTTCAACTCTGAAATCCGGACCAAAATGAGTTAACTGCACAGGGAGCCACCCATCAAACTCAAATTCCCAATTTTTTAAAAAGAAAAGAGACACAAAAAATACGAGTTTCTGAGAAAGTGTCGTTTCCTGAAGCACGTCGGCAATTCCTTACAAGAAATTCGATGACCCTCTCCAGGTGTATTGCATACACCTTGGGGATGTCAGAGTCAACTTCGAGTTGCCAAACGAGTGCAGAAGCACTGCCATCCTACGAGTGCAGTAGTACGCCACTTTGCCTGTCAGGTGTCTTTAGAAGATTTCGTCTGCGGAGACGCAGACAAAAAGTCAACCCTAGCATCCGAAACAAAGATAAGAAAAACCACAAGTATCTCAACCAACACCCAAAGGGGTCAACCCGGGAAACTGAGGCCGAAAGGACCTATTTATAGATCCCGGTCACTGTATCAGAAGAACGTGGATTTACCCAGACACACGCGGACCTTTCCAGCAGCAGAGAAGACGATTCTGCAGTGGGCGAAGAGCCGCATTTTTAAAAAAAATCTTAAAACCTAAAAGCTATGGTCCTCCTCTTCTGGAATCTCAATGGCTTCCGTACTCGGTTGGACGAAATGAAGCTTATAATCTTTGGGCATCTACTTGTGATCAGCAATCGCAGCATCCCCTTTCTCTCTCTTACACATTTTCAGCAATTTGTAAACACTATTGTATTTGGGAGTTGATGTGCTTAATATTACTTCAAATAAAGTTTTACGAGAAAAAAATTGCTGTGAAAAAGTGCATCAAATTTCGAATTTACAGTAGCGCTTACACGCCAGTGCCACTGCTACAAATTGTTCACGAAAATTGCCATTTAGGACGACGTTTTACTGTTCTTTAATAATCTTAAAACAATATTTCTTCTCTACAATTAGGAAACAGAAAAATTAAGAAAATGTAAAATATGTTCTTTGGGCGGCGGTATATGGCAAAAAGCAAGAATACGTAGCAAGTCTGAATAGTAACCGAGACCAAAGGAAATAGAAATCGAATGCGGGCAAGTCTGTGCCATTCTATAGCACAACTAGTGATGGAACGGAGTACTTCGAACAGGCGAATGTAAATAAATGTTCCAGGAATCGTCTTTCTGTGAAACCTATTCATGAAACTCTGCCCGCTCAAGCTCATGGGAATACTCCTTCGGAATGTTATACGATCAGTTTGTTCCCCTTCTTTTCAATAAATTGAGTTCAATTACAATGTTGGACGAGTATAGTTTTCGGGCGAATCACTAGTCCAAAAGTATAGTGCATTTTATATCCCCAGGATATGGCGATGCACTCCCCGGTGGAACGTGCGATCCAGCGCCTACTCGTCGGCTTGCGGGTTTATTCTATATCTCGGTGTTTTCCTCTGCAAGGTTCCAAAGCGAGCCAGCTCGGAGCAGAGCTCTCTCTCTCTCTCTCTCTCTCTCTCTCTCTCTCTCTCTCGCTCGCTCGTGCTCTCTCTCGCTCGCTCGCTCGTGCTCTCTCTCGCTCGCTCGCTCGTGCTCTCTCTCGCTCGCTCGCTCTCTCTCTCGCTCGCTCGCTCTCTCTCTCGCTCGCTCGCTCTCTCTCTCGCTCGCTCGCTCTCTCTCGCTCTCTCTCTCTCTCTCGCTCGCTCGCGCTCTCTCTCGCTCGCGCTCTCTCTCCCTCTCGTTCTTGCGCTCTCTCTCTCCCCCTCTCGCTCTTGCGCTCTCTCTCCCTCTCGCTCTTGCGCGCTCTCTCTCTCTCCCTCTCGCTCTTGCGCGCTCTCTCTCTCCCTCTCGCTCTTGCGCGCTCTCTCTCTCTCCCTCGCTCGCGCTCTCTCTCTCCCTCGCTCGCGCTCTCTCTCTCCCTCGCTCGCGCTCTCTCTCCCTCTCGCTCTTGCGCTCTCTCTCTCTCCCTCGCTCGCGCTCTCTCTCGCTCTCCCTCGCTCGCGCGCTCTCTCGCTTATTAAAGAACGTCGTTCCTAATGGCAATTTTCGTGAATAATTTGTAGCAGTGGCACCGGCGTTTAAGCGCTACTGTAAATTCGAAATTTGATGCACTTTTTCACAGCAATTTTTTTCTCGTAAAATTCATTTGCGTAATTTTTGAAAAACCAAGTAACATTCACCGAAATTAACTTCGTTCTATTAAAGGGTGCAATTACCACTATCCGTTTGAAATCTTCGAAAAAAAAAATTGGAGCAGTTTTTGATGAAATGGCGTTCGAGCGTTCGGAAAATGCGGAATTTTGAACAACTTTGACAGAAAACGGTTGAAACAACAGAAAGTTGATCAGAATAAAGTATTTCCTTTTTTCCCCAATTCCCGCCCACTCTCTTCCCAGCTGCTATCTAACGGCGCCTAAATACATTTTTCTTGCCTTTTTTCCATTTTTTGGTCTCGAAATAGCAAATTGATATGTGAAGTTACAAATATTGTTGAAGATTAAAAACTGGTTTTTCATTTATTGAACGTCAAAAACAGCCAAAAACCGTGTGACGTAGTAGAGAGAAGTGCGTTGTGTGCATGTTTTCATGAATGGGATCCGTGCCCTACACGTATGCAAGTTAATTCTCAACACAATTGAACCAGAATTGACTAGAAAAATTCGCTTCTGCGTAATAAAAACTATTTGTAAAGGCAAAACCAACTATAGATTTTGGGTGTTATTCCTCATCGTGCCCTTCGGGAACGAATCTACATTTTTTCCCTTAATGAAATGTGTTAGTAAAAAACATCGAAAATATGAGGATATGTGAATTCGAAAATATGAGAATTTGTTGCGTGAATAGGGAAATAATTTGAAGTGGTAAATTCGAATTTTCTGCGTCTCGTTTGTCAGTAAAAGACATTTGAGATGCTTTTGGACTTATTTGGATATTTTGAAAATCTCTTCTCTTTGTTTTACTTAATGTGGTGGAACTTACTGTGTGAAAACTGTCATCTATATTAAGTTGCAGTGTAAATGCATATTAAGTAAACGTTAAAAATATTGCGAAGAACAACATGATTTCTCTTTATCATTTGCTCCAAGGGCGAAGTAATACCGAGGTGATTAATTTAGAATATTTATTGCTTTGAGTCATTCAGGGTCTGGAGACCATTCTATTTCCTAATGGTAATTTCCTAATTTCCTACTATCTTCATGGTTACGCGCGCGGTGTTGCAGACTTCGTTAAATTAAATCTTTTCTAAACTAAATGTAATAGTAGTTGTGTAATATTGTAATTTGCAATTTCTCTCCTCTACCATTTGAAACATTATTGAAGAAACGAAGCTCGCAAACTACATAATTTGTTTTGATTCAAACCTTTAAACGAAACAGTTTTCTGTCATTGAATTCAGTGTATTCACGTTTCACATAAATGTACCATTGATGCGAGTTGCGTATTTTAGCCGTAAGTAAAATTATTAGATTATATTAACGCAAAGCAACGGCGGCTTTCCGTTATCAGTACGCCGTTGCAACTAACAACAATCGCCACTAATTTGAATCGCCGCTAACATAAAATGAATATGAATAGATAAATATAATATTATTATATTCATCAAAACTACTCGTTTTTGCACGCATTACTCGTCAATCCCACATATTATTACCCTTAGCGAAATGATCTACTCGTTAAGAGAGATTATTATGTAAACTTCACGCCCCAGTGTCGCGACATGAAATTGCAATTTCATAACGAGAGTCTGAGAGGATAATTGGAGTATAAGTGGCCAGATAACTGAAAAGGAAAAGTGAATCTCAAAATATCGTACATTAAATAAAAGTTAATACAAAATTATTTTCAATAGTTAATTACAATTAAAACTATAATTCTAATTACAATAATTAAGTAAATTATAATTAATTCAAAAATAGAAGTCGACAACCGCGTGCATGTCGAAGATAAATCTTCAAAATTAGAATGGTATCTAGGCTTTGAATGAATCTCTCAAAGCAATAAATATTCCAAATGAACACCTCAATATTATTTTGCTCTTTGAGCAAATGGTTACAAGAAAACGTTTTTCCTCGCAATATTTATAACGCTTACTTAAATGTGCTTTTACGTTGCAACTTCATTCAGATACATTTTCCCCCCTAATGTTCTACCATTTGTAATATTAAGTTAAACAATGAGAAGGGATTTTACAATATCCAATTGGCCTCATGAACTTCTCAAATTACTTCGCATTTACTTTCCATTTTCCGCCTTTTTTCAAATGTCGTTTAGTGGCTCTGAGTTTGAGTTCTTTCTCGCACAAACCATTTGTTCGAGGAATTTCATCAAAAATCATTTGAAGCTCATGCACTACTTATTGCAATACAGAAATCGCCTGCAATGTGTAATAGTAGAGAAATATTTTTCAAAAGTTACATTTATGCGATGTTTGAATAATCAAAAGAATACATCAAAATAGCGTATATGTCTTGATATTCAGTGCTTTTAGCACGATCCAAAAATAGTTTTTAAAAAAATTCAGAAAATATGGGTTTTAATAATGCTTATAATTTACTCAAAATTGCCGGAAAACGATTCCGATTATTAAAAGGATGTAAACATAATTAGTATATTTTTGTTTGAATTAATAAAATGTTATATTTATTTATGATGGATGTACTTTCTTCACAAACTTTTTCGTCCTCCTCTTAATTGTAAAAAAATGGTCACCTTAGGTGAAATAGGTGAAACTTTTACCTTTTGTATGATGCAAACTATGAACAAAGTTGCGCTCTTCAAAAGATTTTTAATACGTTTGTCTTAATTTTAAAGGATTTAGGATTTTTTACAATTTTAATTTCGTATAATGTAAATGTTTTATAGTAGGTGTATTTTAATATTACATAATATATCCGATTTTACATATATTGACCTTTGATACTAAATATTTATCCGGTCTATTCATCACGACCTTATTTGAAGATTTCTTTTTGATGAACACTTTTCTTTAGGAAAAATGTATCTTTATAATTGTAGTTATAAGAAAATGTCGAAAATATTTTGAATTTTTTTCAATTTTCGAAAAGTGGGGGAAGCCTACACTATTCTCTTAAATGTCCTTCAGACTATTTACCATCAAAATTTCATCAAAAACGATGGTCCCGTGTTTTGAGAAAAAAATGTTTAAACAAAATTAAAAAATTCTGTAAGTACTGTAAATGTTACTGTAATTACTGTAAAAAGTACTAAACTTACCTACATTGCAAAATAATCGAAAAATACTCAAATATTGGAAGTTTTTCATGACCTTATTTCAAAATCTATCTGTAAAAAAACATATTTTATTAAGGGGGGAAATCTCTATCTTTAATATTTTAGTTGTAGGAAGACAACGAATTTTTTTTTCTTCAATTTTCAATAAATTATTTTTTATCCAATGTGAGGCGCTATTTTCTTACATGCTCTTCAGACTATCCAACAACAAAATGTAATCAAAATTGATGACCCCATTTTGAAATGTCTCAGGAGCTTAATTTAAATCACCCCCCAAAATTAAAATATCGGTTACGAAGTCTAGGGGCCTCAGCATCAGCCAGATCAATTGGGAAATATCAGTTTTGAAGATAATCAGCTAAACGGTTTAACACAGACGGACAGACGTGCCGTCAATCGAGTTTTCGGTATCAAGGACCCACAAAAGAGAGATTCTGGATACACCATGTGTTAGAGGATTTTTCCCCTAAATTTTGCGACTGGGTTTTTCCACTTTCTCATTACCAGGAGGTTTTTTTTGCCAAACATTACCCGACGTTACGCGCATCATTACATAACTTTATCTTCTTAAGTTTCGTTTTAAGCGCGAGATGGCAAAAGGTAATAAATAAAAGAACATACTTTCAATAAATATAAAAAATATGTAATTATACTGAAAAATGTTATTCATTAGTAACACAAGGTAGTGCAGCAGCATTGCCAACGAATCCTTGTGAATCCTTGATTCCGAAAGATCGATTGACGGCAAAACGTCTGCCCGTCTGTTGTCTGTCTCGAACGTTAGCGCCAAAATCGTTGAGCTGATTTTCTCAAAAAAATTTAGTCCCCAATCGATTTAAAGGCACTCGAAGCCCTCTGAGTATGAAACTGATATTTTGATTTTGGGGGTACTTTACATGAAGCTCAGCGTTTTTAAAATCTCAAAAATGACTCCAAATTTCCGGGGATTGAACTTTATTCTCGGACGTCCTGAAAAAAGTATCGACAGAACATTTTTTAAAAAAATCGGATTCCATGACATTAGTAGGTTCAACTATCATTGTAATGAATCATATCGTAAGGATTCATGGTAAGTCGGAAAGGCAGTGTACAACAGTGTTTGAGCCTGTAGGTGTAGGTGTCCCCCCCCCCCATATGCTTTTTTGATAGAATTCCACACTATTCTCGACAAATCAGCTAATAATGGAGGCAATCGAATACCTTGTCAAGAATAATCAAATATGATTTGCGTAAATGGCTTTCAATACTCCCCGAAACGCGTTTTGGGTTCTTAACGAAGTCAAAAAAGTGTCAGGAAAATTAACAAAACTTGGATCACATGATTCGAGATTTCAAAAATAATAAATGCTTCTTTAAGGCCGAAAACTCTATTTTATTTATTTTTGGTCACGTTCTTGTGAAATATATTCAATTTTTGGATATCTGAAAATTAATTTAGAATTGTATGATAGACTCTTTTTAATTTTAAAAATGTTTTCGAGGAAATCTCATCGAACACAAAACTTCGACATCGATGCCGCATCCCTAGCTGATAAGGGTGTTTTGTACTTAAAAGCATTCCACGAATGTTAATATACGAGTAGGTGCATGAAAGGGCACGCTTGCTTTCTGGAATATTTGCCGAAAGTCTTAAAGGGAACCTCAAGGGGCGAGATTTATGCCCATCGATTTGTCTTGAGGGGAATCAATTTGATCACCACTGTAGGTGCCGTAAGTCACACAAAACGCATTACTTCATTGAAACATTACTAAATACACGTCTTTTAGATAAATTGTGTAGTATCTTCGAATGGAGCCGCAAACTAATTTTTAGCACTAGCGACTCGGTTGTCTCGATTGGGGGATGGCTCTAATCGTGACGGATGCACGCAGGTATCTATGTTACTCCACAAGAATTTATTTTTATTATGAAGTTTCAGGGCACAAATAAAACTTTTTAATGTGAAAATCCGCCAGAGACGCTACGCTAAGCTAGTGAATAGTAATCGAGGGAACCTGCGTGTGTTCCGTTGTCTGCCCGTCGTTCGGTCCGTCACGCTTAGACCTCTTCCGCTCCATCATTCGGGGCCAATGAGGTGTATTAGTTGCGTCTTAGTCTACTGCTGGAGATCTGGCGATTTTTTCCGAATCTTTCGAGAACATATTGAGATAATTATCGAAAAATGGTTTGTTTTAAGCTCCTAGAACGCGCATTTAGTGTGTTTTAGACACATACTGAGGTGATCAATTGTTCATTCTATTGCTTTTGAAGAATTTTAAAAAAGTGTTTTGGTTTGTTTTTAAGGCTTGTATAGTGATGAATGACTGTAATTACTGTACGGCATATCCGAAAGAACGTGAATTCTTAGTAGACGATTTATAAGATTAATGGCCAGATCGATCGGCGAACATTTATTTTGAAAAAAACAAAAACAACGAACGAATGGTTTAGGCACAAGTGGTGTTCACTGATGAACAGGCAGGTGGAGAGAAGGGCAGACTAACAAACAGACGTTTGAAAAACAGTTTTTCGGTATTAGGGGACCACCCCAAAACGTGTATTTGCATTAAAGTCTCGTTTTCCGTTGCATTACATAACTTTTTTTATACTATGTATATTACGCTGGTTATAGATGCGTGTAAACAAGTAAAAAGCATTCAATTATATTTTAAGCATGTGTATCTAAAATTAGCATAGCATTTAAAATATAAAATTAAGGAATTTATTTTTTAAATTGTATATAGAAAAAATGCTTATTATTTGCTAGTAATAAATTGCGAATTAAGTGAGCATTGAAGCTTCAAAGAGATATAGAATGTGGCATGTAAACACAAATGACATTTTTGTTCGTAAAAAAAATGGAGCCACACTGGAAGACATTTATTAGAATTCGTAGAACTAATAATCATATTTAAATTTATTTTTAACAAAAAAATAGTCATAAATAGATTTCTAGAAATTGGCATTTAAAAAGACAAACAAGTCTAAAACGGTATTTACGTAAAACACGCAAATTAAAACTAAGTCGTGAGTGTTTAATTGTAATTTATGCACATTTACAAAAAGCCTTTAAACATATACCTTAGAGAAACAAACATTTCCCTCAATCTCCGATGTGTAATAATAACTATTCTGAAGTATATATATCATTAAGCTTTATTGTTTAGTTACTAGAATATTGAAATTAATAAGAAATATTGTCAAAAAATGGTTTTGATATTTCAATTCATTTTATGATTATTTTAAATATCACAAATTTTGAACGATTGGAGTTGAATGGTACATGGATTCTGAGAGGTGCATAAAGGAAGTGTTAGTAAAATTATTTGTCAAAAGTCTCTTTATTATTAGACGCAATTGTAAAATTACAATTCTGTTTTCCTTCTGCAATATAATTTGATGTTGCAGAAGATGAAAGGAACAACATATTCAAACACACTCTGGGCAGTTGCCCTCAATGGTAGACTAGGTAGATCCACTTCTATTATTAAAGAAACAGATGTTCTCTTAACGGATATTTTCTCTAGCGACCAAAGGAGGTCCTGAAGTTGCAACATTGTTATTTCGTTGATATGATCTACATAGTTCATCACATTTGCTATAGTTGCAAGAGCAATGTTATTTAAGTAAAGTAAAGTAGTATTTACTAAAGAGTTTTTCAGAAGGAGTCGATTGTACACGTACATAAACATGCAGAACAATAGAAGTTGTATTGCCTTTATTTTTTGATTTTGACAAAGGGTAGTGTGTCGTCTTCAACAGGCTAGAACTTTTGTTACCAGACGTACAGAACAAACATGAGTGAAAATAACAATTTCACACGAATTACATTATAAAGGGCATGGCGGGCTGCCTGCAAGTCTTTTGTGTCCTCCTCTCTTCCCGAGAAGGCGGGAACCGCGCGCGCCAGCCACGAAGGTCGCACCAGTCCTTCCCGCTCCACTCCCGGCGGCACGCGGCGCTCCTGGCCGAAGAGCCGAAAGGGGGCGGACTAGGCGGCGGGAGGGGCGGCGTGCGCGGGGGCGTCGTCCACCAGGTGCGGGCTGAAGTCGTAGGTGAAGACGCGCGGCGCCACGAAGCCCCCATAGCGAGGCGTGCCCTTGTGGTAGATGCCGGCGCCGGCCAGCGGCACGGGCGGCTCGGGCGCCACCTCCTGCGCGTCCAGGAACGGCACCGTCGTTTGCGCCGCGTCCGCGTCCATGTCAGAGTGCGTGAACAGCAGGAACTGGTCCGACTTGGAGTCAGGCGTGGAGCCCGCGAGCGAGTTGGTCGGCACGTCCGGCGCCAGCAGCTTCAGCTCCGTCCTGCGCGTAAACGAGACGGCGTCACAACCGGAATGTATTTCGTCATCGGGCGATTAACCGCGCCGGAGATATTTGGGGAGTCGACCTCTACTTTGTGACCGGAAGCGTCTCGACACACTCAGGATCGGTGGGAACCCGGACGAAAAGCACGATGGAGGAGTTCGCTGAACATTTTACTTAGCATTTCGTGAGAAACCGGCCTGGATACAGTGGTGGCTAGTACATGTGACTTACGGTGCGAAGGTCGACTTACACATGTATGTTTCTCCTGGACATTTGTGTCTGTTGGATTGCGGTGGATACCGCGCTCTGCTGTCTCGTTTCTGGGAACCCACAGTTTGTGTCTAGCAAAGTACTCGAACATATTCTCATTGAAGGGGGACTAAATTGCTTTGGTTGGTAATAATAATAATAATAATAATAATAATAATAATAATAATAATAATAATAGTTTAAGAAATCGAGAAACCAGGTTTTCATTCTGAAAAAGTATGAATCTTTTCCTTTTTTAAAAATACACAGAGACGAAACCTGCAATTGTGGGTAATTTGTGTGTGGGTCGTGTTCAAATCAAACAGTGCTCGTAGTGCGCATATCGGTACGTGGCACTTACCTCGGCCCTATCATGGCGCCATCCGTATTATCATTGCTCATCCACATACTCTTTTCGTGGGGCTTGACGAGGGTCCCCGCGCTAAAGTTGAGCGGCGCCACCATGATCTCGGGGTTGAGGTGCGTGCCCACGTTGCGGAAGCGAACCCCTGCACAAATAACACAAATAATTGAGCGATTCTCTCTCTGATGCGAGAGAGAGGAAGACGGCTCGGTGAAGCGGGGGCGGAAACGTTCAAATGGACGCCAAGGGAATTCTCCGGAAACCTGTGTCGGAATTCGGTCTCGTTTCTTTGAGATCCTTTGCGTAACAGTCGCGTTGGAGATCTCTAAGAATCTCTATAACTAAAAACGTTTCTTTTAAGAAAAGTTCAATTATTTAATGTACCCTATGAAAACTGTTAATAGACAATTTAGTTCAGAAATACTTGGGTGTACACAAGTATTACCGATGTACTGAAGCGTTTACTATCGTAAGTAATTTGAAAATTCGTATTTCTCGGGTTAAATCTTGTTTTTGCTTGTTGGAAGACGTTTTAGAGGTGTAAATTATTAAAGATCCAAAAACTTACTAAACAGTTAATTGATCTGGAATCCTAATTGGCAGTCATTGCTTAGTAGATCACCTTCACACAATGATGGGAGCATGAGTGATAGCATGATATGCAAGGTTACATTATTATTATGGGACGATAACGATTTCCCGTATGATTTATCGGATCCTTATAACGTCAACTACAAACGGCAAATGTCCTGTGGTGCGGCAGGTTGCGTACGCTGATGGGCGTGAACATAGGTGGGGGTGGGGGCTCTCCTCACCGGTGACGACGTGGCCCGGCGGCGCCTCCAGGTCGTCGAGGTCGATGGCCCGCTGCTCCCAGCTAAGCGTGTGGTAGTCGCGCGTGTTCTGCACGCCGGCGTCCGTGATGTGGTAGTCATCGACAGGCCGCCAGCGCACGCTGGACGCGTTGATTGCACCGCGCGGCAGCAGCGCGCCCTCGCGGATCTGAAGGTGGATGACGCGGTTCTTCTTGACGAAGCGCAGCCCAGTCACCACCCTGCGACAGCACATAGCGGACACGCGTGAGGACGTTAGTGGATGAGAGACGGTGCAAAGGGAAAATCGGCTGTTGAAATGAAGCACAACAGCACTACAACGTTACTTTAATCTCAGTGCAATTGATACCTTTATATATTGCTCGTGATCCGCAATAGTGGCCGAATTGTGAGTTAAAGCACTCCAGAATACCTTCCAGCAGCAACAGCTTACATTACAGTCTTCCACCAACAAATGACAGACCTGTGAGCGCAGATGATGCATTTCAATACATAATGAAAACTGCAAACTCTTTTATCTCAACGCCTGATTTTTTTAGTTGTTCCACTATTGCAATCCACGAATAATATTATTCTACGATTTAAAATGTGTATCGTTTTATAATTATGCCAGACTTCACTACTTCTCTGTGTGCAACAATTTTATGACGATGGTTTCCAGGACGGATCTTCGTTGTCGCTTTCACCCCCAAAGGTTCGCAAGTTGAGCGTGAACTTTCACGCGTGCGTCATTCGCGGCGACACCTTTTCCCACGAAAAAAAGTACGAGTTGATAGTACGCGCCGGTGGAAGAATGCCTGACGGCTGCATCGTGAAGCGAGCGCGGGAGAAGCGGGGGAAGGGAGGGCCTCGGCTTCTGCTAACCGGATTATTACTTATGCGGATGCGGCAGCGGTTCCGTCACAGTGTGGAGCGGTAGGGTGTTGCGGGGGGAATTCCGCGCAATCCGCTGCTGCCGATTCTCATAGCTTCGTCGCCCGCCTGCGCTAACAAAAGCTCGTTCGCACGTCTAACCTTGGCGCGGTTGCTACAGCTTCACTGCTGCGTCGTCGCTGTTTCTCGCGGCGAACAATGCGTTGTCGACAGTGAGAACTTGTGGACCGTTGTTCTCGTAGCAATTCCAGCATCGTAGAGGGAAGAAACCGGGAGATGTGCTTATGGAGACACGGAATATTTCTAAAATGGGAACCTGATTCGGTTTATGTTGCAGTTTTCTCTGAAATGTTTCTCTGCCCAATTTGCTCTTAAAATAGAACTCATAAATATAGACTTTTTGTTCGTGATCCGCGGAAGAGATATTTTTCCCTTCCATACATCCATTTGCTTGTTTTTTTCCGACCAGACTGCCAGGATACGGGAAACAAACGAGAACAGCTGGCGGAATCATGGCGTCTGACTGGAAGTGACGCAGAAAGGAGGAGAGTCGAACACAATCACGTGCCGCCGCTGCCGCGAGTTGTCACGTACATGTTGTTGGCGGTGTCGGCCACGACGGGTCGCATGTTGAAGTAGCGGTCGGAGCGCGGGCCGGGCTCGTCGCACAGGCAGAAGCAGTATGAGCAATGCCAGAAAAGCCAGCGCCACCAGCTGTCCACTTTGAATTTGCGGCGCGCGCACGTGCCCGGCCGCCCCAACGTGCGTCCGTTCTCATACTCCAACCACTCGTAACGCCGCGTCGCCTGCCGCTCCTGCAACATGACGGCAACATACTTATGTGACGCACACACACACACTCGCGGTGTGCCAACAGCAGCGTTGCATTAGGGGAAGCCAGTTCGCCTTGCAACTGGCTGCTCTCGCTTCTCCCAATATTTCCTGTTCAGGGAGGCAATCATGTAACCGGGCCGACTCTGTAACGTGGCCTGAGATACTAAAAAAGTAGAAAGCACACACACACACATAACATTTCATTGATTTGGAAAAGCCAGAGGGAAAGCAGGAATTTTCGGAAAAATCGTTTTAATTTCGAAATATTTTTGAGACTCTCTTAAAATTAGATATTGTTAAAGTAATATTGTTACATCGTTATTTTGTGTTTACGATTTTTATTTGTAAAGAAAATGTAAATTTTCTTCGTGAAATCACTGATTACGACTGGTACTAAGTGTTCTTGCATCATACATGCGAGTCTTGGCGTCTACCACTAAGCATTGTTCTCGAGAATCTGAGATACTACGGGATAAAGTGCTCAGCGGATAAGAGCTTAATATCGATACAAGTCGTACATTATGTAATATTTTATGTAAATATTAAACATTGTATGAATTTTGCCAGAAAAAATATAAAAAAATGTCGTACCACTTCTTATGTACGGCAACACACTAGGTATTCTCGTAATATAGCTCATCAGTGAGAGGTTTGAAGTCCTTTTTATTGTTCATTGTCATTAAAACTATGGGGCGATAATGTTTTATGAGCGCGACGCTAGATTTCGCCTTTGAGGAAACTGCGTCTTCTGATTGGCCTCAAACAGGCAAACGATCATTACCGTTGAAGACAGCTGATTCATCAAAGAATTAATTTGTAGTCAGCTGCGGAAAATAGGTTTTCTGAATGTTCTTAGAAAAATAAAGGTTTTTAGTAATTGATAAAACTTATTCTGCCAATTAATGAAATACCTAAAAAAAACCTTTTTGAGTCTTAAACCAGGTATTACGTTCGGGAAAACTGAATCAGGCCGAAGCAGACTTTTTTGTCAATTAGCGATGATTTAGAATCCAAACAGATCCTCAAAGGAAATGACGTGTCATTCACTTTTGTCCTTGCGCAATACAAAACCAACTGTACCGCAACATTCCAGGGATTTGCACGTGAAGGGAAACTATTATTAGAGTAAACTTTGTTATGAGGCAATTATGATGTGTAAGATTGTCATCAGCAGCTTTTGCTTTCAGTAAGACCAAAATAACAGCATGTCCCTGACGTGTCAAGACGGCTGGGGGATGGGAGGAGATACACATAGTCGAAACAGAGTATCGGTGATTCCTTAATAATAAATTAATGAAATCTAATAATTATAAGAAATACATCAGTATCTTAATCATATTATAGTGATGGGGAATGACTATCAGGGCATTTCGTGTTGAAACTGCTTTCTGCATGTTCGCCCCGGCCTCCACTTACCGCTTGGCACAGCCACATGTCGGAGTCGATGTACTTGCACTCGAGCAGGCGCCCGTTGCAGCGGTGCATGGTGTCGCACACGCGGCTGTCGTAGCAGCCCGTGCTCTGCGCGTAGGAGTAGTAGGCGCAGTTCTCGCGGCACGACTTCTCCCTGTTCATGTCGGCCTCGTTCTGCACGTGGCCCTGCACGAGGCGCGTCAGCTGCACGAAGGTGTCGCCCTCCTGGTGCACGCGCGGGTCGCAGCGCCACAGCGCGCGCGACGCGGAGCCCATGGCGGCGCGCACGGCCTCCACCTGGCGCCGCGTGCGCTCCTCGAACGAGTCGCGCAGCAGCGTCGCCTCCTGCGTGAAGTTGCCTGCGGGCCACGGGAATGCGCGTGACGTCACGGTGCGGGGACGCCGGCCCGGCCCGGTCGGAGGGCATGTGCGTGGGAAGTGACATGCAAGCCATGTTGGTCTTTGTTGCATGTTCGTGAAACTAACACCCGACAAATGATTTCAGATAGTATAGAACACACTTAATTTGAAAGTCTGACAAGTTTGTTACTCCCTGTCGAAGATGGTATGCAGGTGTGATGTCGCATGAAGTCACAGACCGCGTCCTGTTGCGGTTATAATTCTCGTTTCAACGTCGGGCCGAGCTCGCCTAACCGTGTGAATTTAAAATTCCTTATGGAGGATGGAATGTGTGTCTAATCGTATGCGATGAAGCAGTTTTATGGCATTACGTTAGCCTTTAAATGAAAGGGTACCCACGAATTCTCAGTTGTCTCTAGCTAGTTCGTTTGCCTTTTGCAAACAAGCAAAACCTATTGACGGCACATACTACTTACATTTTACAGGAAAAATCATTTACATAGGCTTTCTTTTCTTGGTTTTGAATGTTTGGAAAGGTGGGGGTCGATGAAAACCATAACTAATATCTAAAGGCAATGGCGGTATTCGAAACAGACATTTTCGCCTTCACAATCATAACAATCTGTGTAAGCACCACCCCGATTTAGAGCGCATATGTCATTGCCCTTACAACATTTTGAAAACATCTTTCTTGGCAAATTCTATTAATTCTGAATCGGTACTCTTACATTCAATACGTATGTTTTCTGCTCAGGAACCAAAAACGGAATATTGGTATGGAAGAATTCGCGCCAGAACGAACCGGAAGGGATTCTGTATTCCTGTGTTTGGAAATTGAATACGCGTACTGCCACCCCTTCCATTCTTTCTTTGGAAAGTCAGAGCAGAGTTTTCGCCAAACACGTGAAATGTTATGGTTGCAGCGTTGCTACGAATCGTGAATAAACGCTTTTCTTTTTGAAGTGCATGGCACACGCTCGGCGTCCCTGATGAGCGCACGTGCGTGCATCTGCGAGGGACGCGGCGTTGAAGCGGGCCCACGGCGTCGCCGCGCGCCGGGCATGCATCGTACGAGAGCGATATTCGCGTCGATGGCGATGCGTGCGGATGAGCGGGCCGCAAGGCTGTGCTAGCTAGGCTGTGGAGCAGCGCCGTTAGCCAACCGAACGTGCTTCGCGTCGCGCATGCACTGTCACCGCCCGCCTCGCTTCGTCCGCCCTCTCGCGCCCGCCCGCTTGCCTGCGGCGGCGCGCCGACACGCGAGCGCGAAGGGAAGTGCTTAGATGAGCGCCAGCGCTTTGTTCCCCGCCCCGCCCGGCCCCGCCCCGCCATGCCCCGCCCGACCCCGCGCTGGCGCTGGGCCCGCTCGGCGCGGCTCGCCGCCCGAGGACAGAGGAAACGCTGTGAGCAGCGTCTGCGCCGCTGCGCCGGCCCCCACGACTCAGCTGCGGTGGCGATCGAGATCCTCGGGAAGGGGACGGACGGCGTTATCACTCGAATGTCAACGTCAGGCCGGAAGTTTGCGAGATGTTTTCGATGGCATATCTTTCCACTGTGCGCCGGGAACGTTGCCGGAGTTTGTTGATATCGCAATCTGACAACTGAGCGTATTGTATTCCAGAGTTGACAAACGTAGAAAAGCATGTGAATGGGATGGTAGGAAGGCACGTGCGGTGTGTAAAATAGTCTCGCCAACGGTTAGATTACTTTATCTTGGAATGTTGGCACAGCTACGGGGGGCTGGGGGTTTGCAATTACGCTTCAGAATTACGTGTTCGTACCTTTGTTGTATAGCCTCAGCAGCATCCACGAGAACTGCATCATGGCATAGCCTTTCAGCTCTGACAGCGCCACGGCGTTGTACAGGTTGTAGATCACTTGCTGTGGGCTCTGCTGCACGGCGCACTGCAACGACTCCAGTTCCTGGAACAGGACAGGGGATTGCGGTTTTCGACTTGCACATTGAACGTCCGCAAAAGGGTGACGCACTGACGTTCGCGTGTTTACATCTGCCGACGTCGGGTTGCTGACTCTGCGTCCCGATAGCGATTAATGCGCGGAAACCGGACAGTGACACGGGAGAGGCCCTCAACGCTATGGTATTAGGTTTCAATTGCGCGGATCAAGGCAGGAATCGGATTTCTAAATAGTCATCCGACGCGAACAATGTGCGAGTTTTTGAGATAGACGGTGTTGACTTTCCACTCCATTGCATCATTCCAAACTAAAAGCACCAGTGTGTAGAAATGAATTCCAATTCTTTCGAGGGAAACACGAGTGCACTCGTAAGGGCAGTATATTCCTGACTGATAATCGATTTATTAAATGTTTAAATAGAAAATAATGAATGGTTTTGGATAATTATTTTTTTCGGGTAGTGAAGCTAGAAGACATAACTGTAACATTACACTAATTACAAAACGTGATTCACGTCCGTTTCCCAGAGCTGGAAATAAGACTTTCTCTGCGCTCGATAGAAAATGCGGCAGGCGTCCCGTTGCAAGCAGCACGGCGGATGGGGGCGGGGGGTGGAGCGGGGCGCGCGGCTACCTTCAGCGCCTGGCGGAAGAGGTCTCCCTCGCCGTCGTGTAGGACGATATCCTCGAGGCGGTCAAAGACGCCCGGCACGCCGGCCAGCAGGGCGTCCGCGAGGTCCTGGTAGGTTTGGCGCGAGCCGGGCAGGCGGCCGGGGCGGTACGTTCGTCGAAACGTCTTGTACAGCGTCTCGAGAGCTACTATCTCCGCCTCCGTGCGAGCCCACACCCACAGGGAGTCCAGACCGTGGGGCGGCGCCGCGGCGGAGCCCGGCACCTCGTTCTCGACCGCGTCGCCCAGCGCATACACCGCGCGCAGCAACTCGGCGTCGGCGCCGGCCGTCTCGTCCGCCATGGCCACCCAGCGCGGATCGCGCACGTCGTCCCACAGGTCTTCGAGGCGCTTGAGCAGGCGCTCGCGCAACACGGCGGCGGCGCCGGGCTCCCCGCGGGCGACGACTAATTGCAAACTGTGTTATTGGTGACCTTATACATCGGTTTTATTGAGTATTCGCTCTAAGAGGAGGATGCCTGATACTAAACGGTATTTTGCAGGCCATTGCGTCTTTTATTAATTCATTTTCGGATGTCCGTTCTTCATAATTTTTAAGGGTAATTCCTCCAGGGTTTTTTGAACACGAAGCGCCTGGGAGGTAGTGAATTAAATAATTATAGAGTATTGTTTAAAGTTAGACGCTACGTAGAACCAAATTAGGGTAAATGCCAGTTTAAGGAGCTTTTGGTCGAATCGAGAAAATGTAATTTTAAATGCTTGCTCTAACAAGTTTCAAATTTTTTACATTAATGTTTTGAAATGTTATGGTGATATTAATAATAATAGTATAATAATAATAATAATAATTCTCATAATTTCCCTATAATATTTTTAAACTTGAAATTAAAAATGATTTGAATATTTTGAGATTTGCGCTGATAGTGGCAATGATGAGAAAGGGTAATTACAAAACAGAGGTGGGGGAGGGCAGAGGAGACGGGAAGAGTGGAAAATGTTTGAGTTCTTGTTCCAAGTAACCATGCCTACAATTGAATCTGGTTCTCAAGAAGAAGAATTACATATATAACAGTAGCATGTAGCTTTTCGACCGAAAGAGGGCAATGCATATTTTAAACGGCTTGAATCAATGTCAATTGGCCTTTTTGAAAATTAACCACTATCAATTTTTAAATTTAATCTAATTGGAAATGAAAAAATATAGCAGGAAATGTATGCCAAAACTACAATCAAGCTGAACATGCTCTTCTGCACAAAAACTATCTTAAACTCATTTGCAAAGGTTCGAGCTTAGAACCTTACCCTGGCGCTCGTCGGCACCCGCAAAGCTCCCTTTCTCTGACGTCCCGCAATTCTGCTGAAGCAGGTAAACAATCATCGAGTAACATAAACGCAAAAATTTCAATATATATCCCGGGAGGCAACATGGCCGACGCGAGGCAACACAGAAGCTCGGCGAGGGATTGACGAGCGCAGCCGCGGGGGGCAGCTGAGCGGGCGGGGGCGGGGGCGGGGGCGGGGGCGGGGCGGGGCTTTTGAGCGGCGAGCGAAGAGGCAACATTCCAGAGAAGATGTTTGGCATTTTAACTGCTTCCCTGAGCGCCCAATGCAGCGCCGCGCTCACTTAGCCGCTGCGCGCCGACAGTGGGCGAACCGGACGCCGAGGGACCACACGGGTGTAAAAGAGGAGTTTTTATTGTCCTCGCGCCCGGGCAAGAGGACTCAACCAAATAAAGACACACAGATTTGGTAGATATGTATATTATTGAAATCCGTATAATACTTCATAATCATATCCCTACAAGTGTGGCCCTTTTGGCAAGCTCGTAGACGCGCCACACCACACACACACATACACACACACACACACACACAACCAGATTTTTAAACCGTGTAATAGTAATGCACTAAGTAAATATAATAGCTTTTTACAATCATAACTTCGGGTGGCTCTAGACAGCTGGCTAGCTATTTGAGGTTGGTCGTCGAGTTTGTTTATCCGCTGGGACAGGAAAACATGAAATGAGGTAAGCTTCCTTATAGCGTTTCTATGGTTGTGTAGGAATAAAGTGCAGGCCAGGCGAGTAATTCAAGGTCGGTAACGGAAGTGTGACTCGGTCGTCTTTGCCACAGAGTGGAAAAAAGTAACAGGGAGGAATAAAAATAAAATTGACCGGCACGGACTGGGACACCGCTTGACGGACCAAGACGGACTTTAATCGGACTCCAATGCCATATTCATACATCCTTACAAGTGGAGTAAAAAGAGACAATTTTGTGGGGCGGAGGATAATGATCACAAGGCAACTTGCAAGTTGGTTGATTTATGGGTAATGAGCGCGGTAGAGCGAGTGTGTTTCCACGCTTGCATGTAAATGGTAGTTTCAGGCTCAGTGTACATGGAGTTTTTATCTTAATTGATGGGGGGGCTTTTTTCAACCCAACTTTTATAACTAAATGCCTGTGTTATATTAGTGTTTATTATATATACTCCTGGCAGTTGGTTATTACAACGAAACTAAGAGAGCCATTTTAATCTATCTGGCTAAAAGAAAGCTGTTTTAATCTACTCCGAAAACGTAAGTAAAGCAGGCTGAAAAAGAAAATCTAGATAAAATGTTAAAAGATAATGATATAATATTTAAATATATTTGTATCGGTACATATACTTGTGTAATATTCATTGGTCTTAATGGTTCTAAACCAAAATTTAAGTCGGTGGGGAATATAAGATTAAACCTGGGCAATTTTTTGGTATTATGGTACAAGACTTATTATCTCTGTAACCCTACATATTTTTTACGTATTGAAGGTCTGAACCTACGGTCGAATTATATGCGATATTAACCCCTCTCTTTAACATCTCTTGATTTGGCAAAATCGTAAATATTTTTGTTTATGAATGCTCACAAAAAAAAGCATTAACGTTTTACGGGATCACCGTAGAATTATTGAATTGATATTTAGTTTCACGTGGCGAGACGGGCAGCGGCATCAGGGCTCGCTCTTTGCGTCTGCCCACATGCAAATTTCGCTAGCGCTCGCTTTCACCAACTAGCAGAAGAAAAAGCGATGTATTTTTTGGGCGAGAAGCAAACGATTTGAATTAGCTCAGGAGGCGTCATGTAGGCTTTGAGGATCTTTTACTATGCAAAGAAATCTATGGGGGACAGCCGGCTTTACTTCGACTCTGAAGGAAGGCGCACGAAGGGATTTTTTCGCCCTTTATAGAAAATACACGAACATTGCTAACAAATAGTAACTCGTCTCCAGAGGAAAAGGGAATGACTATTTTTAAGAACATAAAGATACAAGAAACTAGGAAATAAAACTATGCGAACTCGGGAACCACCATACACCCGCCGCACCAGAATTATAACGCCAAAACTCCGAAACTGAAATGAATGGTTGACTATAAGGGGAATTTAATCAAAGTTTGGCACGTTGGTCGCATGTGGTTTTCGCCAGCGTCATTCTTCGAGCTCCAGCCTCTTGAATGCGCTCTCCCATATTGTGTGTTCAGTGGTGATTTGCGGAGTAAATCGAGAATATGTAACTCGTGAGATGTGAAAATAACCTCTAGAAGCATGGGGTGAAACGCTCAGTATTCCTATTCGAGAGTTATATCTTGGAGTAATGGTGTACTCTCGGGTACGGTATCCTCAACTTTAACTCGGCTGTTGGTGGAAACGCGGCCCGTTAGGTCCTTTAAACTCGTTTGGGCTTGAGGAACTTGGATTGGTTTGGGATGAAGTGCGCATTACTTCAAATGTAACAATTCTTCAG